TTGGCTCATGCTTTGGAAACGAATAGAGTAACTATCGATGACTATATGTCGCTTGTTTTACTTTGGTGTTTTATAGACACTGACCAAATTAACTCTTCAGAAGAATCAGATTGGAGATCAAGGAGTAAAGCATTTTGCTAACATGCTCGAAAATAATATAGTTAGATCTTCATTCGCCTCTTCTTTTTAAAAGCTATCATTGAATTTTTAATCTAGAATTTCAAATATCTCGAGTTGAATAATAATAAGATTTCTGATTGGAAAGCTGTTGAAGCTATTATTGATACTAGAGCGAAGCAGGTAAGATGTGAATATTGAACACCATTTTTAATTGATAATAACGTTTTTTTCTAGAACTATGTCTTTAACCTCAATTACTTTGGAATTGGAGATAACATAATCGAGCTTATGACGTCTATTTTCCGAAAAACAAATGTAATTGTTAATTGATCACTTGCTTAATATATATTTCTTTTATTTTTCTTCAGAAATTCACACGTATTAGTCTTCAGTCAAATAAAATAGGTGATAGAGGTGCACAGTTGTTAGCTTCGTTAGTAAAAAATTCTACGGTAATTATTCTGGTTGTTTGATATACCTTGTGTTACACTCGAATCTGATAATAGACAATCATCACACTGGATCTTCGATCGAATCATATTGAAGATGAAGGAGCTTGCCATCTTGCTGATGCGTTAAAATTTAATAAGGTGACATAGAACATAAAGAAATGTGACTAGATTTGTTTGATAATTTCTTGCAGACACTATCTGAGCTCAGACTTCATGGAAATCCAATTACAGCTATAGGCGCAAAGTATTTGGCAAATGTTCGGAAAAGCAGAACGGTCAGTCATTCTTTATTTTATTGGTCTTGTTGTAATGTTTCGAAATTTCATTTAGACACCAATCCAGTTAAATATCGCCGGTAAGAACATCAAAAAAACGTAAAAAAATATAGAAAAATAAGAAAAGTAGTAAGGGAGAACGTAAAGTGAAGAAGATTATATTCAAAATTCAAAATATGATCAGCTCTATTTCCTTCTTGTTATCATCTTCTAATTAGAAGAAAATATTTACTTTAATTTCGACCGTTGTCCTCTAAAAGCCATCTGTTTTTTGAATGACTTTTCAGAATGTTAAGCTCAACAATTAATATCAATAAATGAATGATTATTTTCTGTATGATACAGAACTTTGAATTACGTTGCATAGTATCGAGAGTTGTGTTTACTTCCTAGGTAATCAATCCATCGTAAACGATAAAGTGTGGAAATCAAGCTAACTTTCACTTAGTATCTTTCAAGAAAAATAGATTGAAACGGAAACGTATTAGTGCAATTCTACTTTCGCCATTAATATATACAGTTTTTCTGAAACTTATTAAAGAAGTTAGTCATTTTTTCGCTGATTTTTATGTTCTTTATAGATGGACTGGATCTACAATGTCCATCAAAACATCATCTTCGTTTGTGTGATGAAAGTCAACGCAAAAGGATGTGGACTCATCGATATGCAACAATTCGGTTTGTATGTAATATATGCAAGAAAACGTCTTACAATTTATCATGGCATTGCTCTTGTTCAACAAATGGATATGATGTATGCGAAGAATGCGCGAGTAAACAAAACTGAAAAGCTTCGCCGTCCAAATATACAAAACGAAACTCTATCAGAATTCTATCTTTCGATAAATATCTATTCGTTGTCTAACAGTTTTAATAATTTAATCAAGATTTGATGAAACAATATAATCATGAAACTAAATCTTGAGAGTAGTTGTGGATGTGAATGTAAGATAAATACAATACCCACACCCATATTCTCAAGTCCATATAGAAACACGTAATTTCGACAATTTACTTCTTATCAAAAAAATTCCAAATACTGTTTTTTAATCTATTGAAAAACCGTTTTGTTTCAACCATTCTTTTCTACATGATTTAACATGTGGAGTGATACCTTTTGGTTTAAATGTTTTTCCACATTGTACATTAGGACAATTATATTCTCCATCAGGATTTTTCGTCAAACGATCAATGATTTTGAATTTGGGTATGGATTTTTTATCGCAGGTACGTTTATGAGTATGCAGATCATGCTCATTTTTACAGGTTCGACCACGTACATTATAATTTACTCCATTTTTCAATACTTTAGCAGTCGAACTTGAACATTTTTTAGTGAACTCTAATGCATTTTGATAAAGTCTACCTAAGATTGATGGTGATCGATACGAATTTTTTCCCATTAAATAACCTGGATATGTTGAAACAATAAGTTGTTGAATTTCTTTAAGACGTTTGTGTGGGTGCATATCCTGCTAACATCATCCACAACCATACCCTCCTGGTATTTTGACCATATTTCTTTTCTTATTTGTCTGCTGAGATTTAATTTTTTTTTCAAAAAATTCGTCTTCTAATTCTCTAGAAAATGATGTATTTTTATTTGTTTAAATAACGTTTACCATTCGCTAAAATATGATTCTATCAAAAGCCTGTTTTAGAAAGTTCTGCAGTTCGGATTGTTCGTTTGAAACGGATCTTAGAATATGATGAATATTTTTTACATAAATGGGAAATATACTATTCCGCAAAACATCTCAAGACGAATCTTTCATAAAAAACAACTTGAATGAACGAATTTCAAAACAGATATGATTAAAATATTGAGAAGCCATTCTTCCTGGGACACTCGATATTATGACCAGAAAAGATATTGTTGCTTGAAATAAATTCGTTCTTATCGATCGTATTCTATTTAATAAATAGTTATATGTAACTTCATTATCTCAAATGACTAAATTCTGATAAGAAAATTTTCAGCAATATCCATGTTTCACTTTCAAATATTCTTTTACTTTCTTATTTTCGAAAAACGCACACATGGACAAAATAAAGAAAAGAACGAAGAAAAGAAAATATGTATCTATATGTGTGGTTCATTATCGACACGTTGGATTTACATCATAACGATTTCTTTCTGTTCTATTATCGTCGAATATATAATTATTTTATAGTATTTATTCCCACTTTCTTATTTATATTAGCATCATTAAATAATTCAATATGGAACAAGTGAAACGACAACGGAATAGTAGTACCGAAGATTCTAATGATATGAAAAGAAAACAAGTTCATAGTACACGTCAACCTGAAGCTTCATTTGATATTAATTTATCTACAAAATCTATCAGTTATTTTGAAGATTTATCTAATGAAATTATTTATGAAATATTTGAATACTTTGATTTTCATTATATCTATGAAAAATTTTCAAATTTGAACCAACGATTTGTAAATCTTATTATCAATTCAAATTATCCGATTAAAATCAATATATCATCTATATCAAAACCAAATTTTCAACGTTATTATACAAATATAATTATACCTTATCAACAACGAATAAAATCACTTCGTATAACAAACATATTTGCTGCTGATATTATTTTGTCTTCACAAGATAATATTTTAAAATTAACTCGACTTGAAACACTTATTTTAACTAATATTTCATCATCATATCTTCGTAATCTTCAATATTTGACTAATCTACCAAAATTATCTTCATTAATCATCATTTATGATGGTTATACAAAGATTGATCAAGGTGAAGTTTATCATCAAATATTTCAACTACCATTTTTAAAGTATTTTAATGTATTATGGGGAATGGCGTTTACCGATATCGTATCATCATTACCATTTACTATCAATAAATATAGTTCAATTGAACATCTTGTTATTAAAAATGGTATCCAACTTGATACACTTTATGTTATATTATCATATGTTCCTCAAATTCGTCGTTTATCGATTTCTAGGTTACTCGAACCTGAAAAAAGACAAAATATAACGTTTTCGATTACATTGAATCATTTAACATATATATCTCTTAAATTAGCTCCTTTCGATTTTCATGATTTCGAACTATTGGCTAAAGATCTCTTCCATAATCTTCAAGTATTACATCTCTATGCCAGTCATGAAATAACATATTTAGATGCAAATCGATGGCAAAATTTAATATTATCTCATATACCAAATTTAATAATATTCGATTTTCAATATTTTTATTTTACAGCTTTCGAAAAAGATATGATGTCCAATTATGAAAATCTAATAAAAAAATTTACTTCTTCATTTTGGATCGAACGACAATGGTTTTTTTCTACTCAATATTCTTTTGGACACGATGCAAAAGATTTTCTTTTCTTTTCAGTAAAACCATATAAGTACATAAGATAAATTTACTTATATACTATAATCTAACTTTTATTTTTGTTTAGAAGATCAACATTTATATTAGATGGAATATTTGAAGAAAAATTAAACTTTGATTCAGTTCATCATATCGAGATAGGCAGTATACACGCAATCGACAAGTATAGAAATTATTTTCCAAATGTTACAAAATTAAGTTTCATAAATTATTCGGTTCCAACTGGTAATATTATAGATAACAGTTTACCATGTATTATTTCTTTAGATCAACTTACTGAAATAGTTGTTGACCTTGTATCGATATATTTTATGGACTTAGTTAAATTATTAAGTGTTGCAGTAAATCTTCATACAGTAAAACTTTACGATGTATCAATTGATGAAATAAATCCTATAACAATTCAGCAAAATTTAATTTTTCAGTTGGCATCGAAAACAAATGTTGTCAAAAATCTGACTTTAACATATGAGTGTCGTTTGAAAGTAATTGAATTATTATTTGCCTTATGTCCACGATTACAACATTTTGAATTACATTATGTTATCACACCTTTTTTACCACCTTTAATAAGATTTATTTTGTCAAAAACTAATAACAATAATCGTCATTTATCTTCTTGGTCTATTCTACAAGAGACTATTGAAACAGAAGAAATCTTGAAAATGGTGATTAAAAATGATCAAGTACTCAACGATTATAAGGTGGAATATTTTGATAATGAAGTACATGTCTGGTGGTAAAATTCAGTCAAGAATATTACTAAACAAATCTATCGATTATAAAAACACAGTTTTGTCTTGATGTTGTTCTTTTTTGTATAATAAATTTCTGAAAACTATACAATTTCATTTTTCTCGTTTTTTTAATTACCTTGAGGATGAGTGTGGATTCAACTTTCCTTCTTCTACATGATAGATGACAAGTATTACTGACTGCATCAACAAGAAAGAAGAAAGCATCATGAGTAGTTTGATAGACACATATACTGGAAAATATTAATTATAAATGTTCCTAAGCGAACATGTTAATACTACCAATTCTTATAAACACACTTGAGAATATTTGCTTGAAAGATAATGTAAAATTAATTTAGAAAAAAGTCCATTCCTATTTATTTCGTTGTTATCTGTTAAAAATTAAAATTAATTAGATGAAGAAATATTCATCGTGTTAGAAAATTATCTGTTATTCAAAAATGTACCACTCTTTGCCCTTTTCAATTGAAACTAGAAAATGATGAAACGACTACGAGTTAAAAATTAAAGAAAAAAAAAAGACAGATGCGTGCTTATTTCACATCAATTGACAGAAGATGACATCTTTAATACGTACACGATATGCGTTTAGAAATAGAAAGAAAGAAAGAAAAAGAAACGAAGAGCTTCGATTCTCATCTGTCATTGTTTGCGTGAGAAGAAGTCATTATAGAATATAATTTCATAAAAGATTGACTGTTATTGTTACTCTTTCACTATTACTATTATAGAGTAGAAAAAGAAAAATAAACAGCTTCAACTCAACACATATAATGTTTATCTACAGTCCATACAACAGTACTGACATGGCTCCTTCACAATTTTCAGCCATTCTGATCTATTCTACTTACGCAATATCTTTTCTAATTATTTTATTCGTCTCTATTGTTATTTTTTATGTAACTTTGACTGTTAAAAAACTTCAAACATTCTTAAATCTACTAATTTGCAATACCTGTCTAATCAGCATATTGTATTCAAGTACAATAGTTCTTCAAGTCTTTATGGTCGTCTTTATTCCATTTTATCCAATTGGAAAAGATAGTCGAACATTTTGTATTCTTCGTGCCTATCTCACCGCTGTTTCTACTACTCTACTTACCTCATCATTTCTTCTTCAAGCTCTTAGTCGTTTGTTTCACACAGTATTTCCCATGCATCGTCGATGTCTGTTAACATGGAAATTTCATTATTTTTTAATAGCTGTTCAATGGATGATGGGATTTTTAACACCGATTACAATATTAATTAATCATGAAAATATTATCTATCGAACAGGTATATTCTGTACAATTGGATTAGATCATATGTTTCATCTTTACTATATCTATTTAACGGAATATTTTATACCAATATTAATTATTTTTATAATCTACATAATAATTATCTATCGAGTAAATTATTATTCTTCTGCGTCTCAACAACATCGTTCTAATCCTGCTCGCGAAGCGAAATTACTCAAGAACATTCTTATTTTTATCGGTATTTTCACTGTTGGAGGTTTGCCATCGATTATTTATACTTGTCTGATGGCACCAAAACGTATTCTTTCGATTCATTTCTTTATACTAACATTAGTATCTATACCTTTAGCTGTGGCAATCGAAAAACTGTATGTACTTTGGTTGAATACACCGCTTCGACATGCATTTATTAACTGTTGTTGGTGTGTTGCGAGAAAGAGAAAAAACAAAAGTATGCAGATGTTTAGTAAAAATAGAACGTCGACTCAAACAAAAAAAACAATGATTAATCATTCAATAAGTGATTTAGAGTGCGATCTGACTCTTTAAAGTTTTTCTTTATTGTTTTTATTGTAATTGTTACTGTTTTGAGAGAAGACGAAGATGTCAAATTGATATGAATGCACTAATTTGTCAACGGTTCATAAGTCTACCTGAATCTTACTTCTACTGATATAAGTATAGGAGGAATTATAACGTTTGTTTTTCAATACATTCACGAAGAAGTAATTTTTACTTTATTAAAATATTTAAAAAATTGTTTGTAGTTATAAGCTTTTCTGTAGAGTTAATTCGGTATAATAAATCTAGGATACAATCAACCAAAATAGAATGAAATATAACTGTCAAGCTTATGACATTATTACGTAGAGAAGATAACGTTAGATATAAGCCTGCTAATGATACGTTTCGAACAGAAAACAAGGGTGGGTGTGGGTTCATGTTGTCTTCAGCCACACCCACACCCTTAGTTTTATTCGATTGAAGGTCTTAGTTTTTTGATTGATGCTTGTAAAGTTTGTTCGTATAAAAAAACGCGGTGTATTTGTGCATCCTTCAAAAATATATTATGAATAAAGTTAAATTAAATAGCAAAGATTTATGAAGAATATGAAATTTCGTTGAATGAGGAGGTATTTTTATTAGAATACAATTATTTGAAAAATTGTTAAGCGTTTAATATCAAAAATTTCGGATTTTGCAAAGAAAAGGAGGACATCTATATGAAAAAGAAGGACCATTCGCCATCCAGACGAATGGTGCAATTACATTCATATTGACAAATAAAGAATACGACACGATGTTCGAAGATCTGCCCGATGAAATTCTTATGATCATTTTTCAATATTCTGGTGATCCTTACACAATATTAACAACATATCTTGGTTTAAATCAACGTATAAATCGAATTCTTATCGATAAACATTTACATTTATTAACAAATTTTCTTTATACAAAATATAATAGTGATTATTATGACTCAGAAATCTTTCAAAATGCATCTCAACAATTATTAATGTTGAATTCAAATATTGATAAAACGAAGCTTGATGAGATTTTTCGACCATTAATTCTGTTTCATATACGACAGACATACATTCAACAAGGACAAGAATTTCAATTATTGACAGAACAACATAATTCTATTCGTCAAAATCTTTCCAATAACGAAAAACGTCAAGTCGATTGTGAAGTTAAAATTCAATTTTTGAATTTAAACAAATTAGATCGATCGATTGAAATATTCCAAAATATTAAAAAACTAATTTTAAAACAAGGTGCTCGTTGTGAATGTGAAGATGGTCCGGGATATTTCAATCTAATCAGCGCTGTAAAGTATCTCTTACTTGTGCATATTTCTGAACCAAATTTTACAAGTCCAATTTCACCTCACCTATTAACACAAACATTTAAAGCTCTACTTGTTTCCAATAATAATTTATTATATAATCAAGATTATGTTGGTTATACGGGTGATCCTATGGATATTTGGAAATTAATTGACATTATTGTATTTACTATTTCGAGTTTAAAATGTCATTTTCATGATCGTAATTCATCGACATTGGTCAATATGAAATATTATCATGAGATCGTTCATTTCTATTTATTTATCATACAATGTCGAAAACAAACACATCACGAGCAAGAAAAAAATATGTTTCTAATGTTAGATTATATTTCAAATATGAATGATAATCTATTGATTCAATTAACAAATACGGAATTATTGAAAATGGTTGTTGAGGAAACTAACTTTAATGATACTGAAGATAATTATTGGTTAGAGACACATTTAAGACAAAAAGTTGAGTATGTTGTTAAAGCGAAGCAGTTTCATGTAATTGTATATCTAGCACAATCTGAACGAATTCCATGGAAAAAAACTTTCAATGAACCAAAAAATTTTATTCGAAAATTTATTAATGCAATCATACTTGATGAATCGGGACGACGATTCCTATTGCAAATCATGGAAACAATATCATTAGATTTGTTATTTTTCAAAAAGCAGGTTTTCTTTCTTCTATTAAAAAAACGAGAACGTAAACTATTAGAACAACTACTACAATCATCGCCTGAATTTCTCAATGAATTAGATGAAGATGAAAATGATGCATTACTTTATACTTGTTTGAAAGTTTCTGGTCTTCGGCATCGAATTATAGAACTTTTAATTAAAATGGGATCGAATATGGAACGAAGAAACTCTCAAGGGCTCAATTTTATGGATACATTACAATTACCGCGAAATCGAAATCTATCAAAGAAATTAGTTGAATTCGAGATTATTTTTAATGATAATTAATATTTCCTCGACTGTAGTGAGGTTCATATAAAAAAATTGTTTGTCTGTGGCAGGTCAAAAGAACATATCTTCTGATTGTGTTTATTCGGATCTGAGGGTGGATGTGGATGTCGATATATATATATATGGAAATACAACAATACATTTTAAACTACTATCTACATATTGATGAAAAAATTAAAAACCGAAGTTTTGAAAGGCTAGTTACTATCCACTATGTACGGATATATGATGTAAATTAATATCAATAATGCTCTATCATCGTCGTTCCAAAGACGAATAACTAAATATTAACAATACTTTTAGATGTGATTGATACGGTACTTGACTTTAATCATGTACGTATATAATTGATCACAAAATATTATACACTATAAATATAACATGCGAATAGTGTCTGTTAGTCGCTTAAATCGAATTCGATCTTCTAAAAGCATCAGTCGTTATTGATATCTAGATTATTGTTGACGTACGAATATTTATCGTTACAACAAGAATCTCATTCAAAAACTGCATTGATTGATAGAGAACCAATCATCATAGACTATCACTATAAATTCATAGATAGTTAACTAGACATAGCTTTCTAGAACAGCAAATTCCATTATTAATTCAACTAAATTTAATACGCATAGACAATAATCTAAATATAGCCGCGTTTATTATTGTTTTTTTAATAAAACCAGTCTGGAAAATTTTCTAATAGCATACTTATATACCGAGAGTGCATCAGTTTTGAAGTATTATATCTAAATATAAAAATATTCAGTTCTTTACTGAAGAACAATATCATGTGCAACGATTTTGTTTGCCCTATATAGTCCTATTACTATTATTATCAGATTACGAATCCTTCATATTGGAAAATTTTAATTAAAAACTACTTTGTAAAGATTTATTTTTAATCCGAAAAGATATAATATTGTGATTAGAATACACTTCATCCTTTAAATATTTATCAAAATGCATAAAGCTATCATTATCCAAATTATTTACAGTAGAAAATTTTAATATAATGATTTTATATACGGCGATACTTGTACAGTTTCATAGGTTAATACACCTGTTTTCAATGTATGCTGTCCAATCATTTTTGCAAATAATTTGATAATGTATTTTTCGATACAAAACAATATATTAAACAACAGTAGCAACGAGTAGACGATTTAAAATATTAATACTGCATCTCACAATTTCCATCAAAATGTAATTAGCCAAGAAATATGACGTAGTAATAATATGATAGAAATTTAAATAACACGTATTATCATTCTATTTTGCTACAAGGATAAGAATTTAATTTCCCTATGTCCTCAGAAGGACAGACAGTACGTATATAATTATTAAACACATCACCAAGGATAGATAATAAATAAAAGTATATTTGAGTAGAATATTTATGTTGTTAAAAGTGCAAAATACACACATGCGGAGATTTTGCATGGGGCTGACACAACAGTCAATGAGAAAAAATTTAATTAATATGAATTAAATAGAAATACTCTTCAAGTTCAATTTAGTCAATGCCGTTTTAAATCTATGTAAGTTGTTCTTCGTATTAAATCAAATTTTATAGTAAAGCTATTTTATAAGCAAAATATCAAATCACTTTTTATATTAAGTTATAGTTTAAATAACCAATTATTCATAGAAACAAGAAAAGTATAGCTTAGAGGTGACGTAGGAGTGCTGTGACGGAATGATATTTCTATTTGCGGAAGAGAAAATGAAATCTGTAATATTGCTAGTTGCTTCAAGTAATACGCCTTGAGTACTCAAAGAAAAAAAAACGTTTAAAATATATATATACACATACAACATTGCATTCTCGGAATGATATTTTGATTCTTTCATCGCATTCTTTAATTTTATAGAATAAGTTATTAAAAAATTTAGCAATGTCTACAATCCTTTTGCCGATTCAACAAGCTATTACTCGCTATATTTTTCCGATCGTTGTTGCAGTTGGAAATTGTGGTAATCTTATTATTATCATTGTGTTCTCACAACGTGGTCGCCGCACGAACCCATGCTCTCTCTATTTACTTTTCGGTGCGATTGCCAATATAGTCAATGTCAATATAGCTATTATACCGCTCATAAACGCACTATTAAATCCACCAGATCCTTTTACTCAGTCTCTTGCTCTTTGTCGCGTACGAGGCTATCTTATTCATATATCGAATCATTATTTTCGTACGCTTGTCGTTCTCGCATGTATTGATCGATATGCCATGACAAGTATGCGTATATCCATACGCAATTGGTCATCACTTAAAGTGGCACGAAGAGCAATTCCTTTAGCATTTATTAGCTGGCTCTTAATAGCAAGTCACATTCTTGTCTTCGAAGATATTCAAAATGGTCGTTGTTTTGTCTTCGGACTCTATGGTACAGTGTTTAGTTTTTATAATATTATCATCAATATTCTACCTGGTTGTTTCATGCTAGTCACTGGCTTTTTAACAATGCGTAATATACATCGTAGTCGAATGCGTATTAATCCAACAGAGCAAATAACAAATACAGGACGACTAGTGAACAAGAAAGAACTTGATCTGCTTAAGATTGTTGTAGCTGAAGTGTGTGTCTATTTGACTCTTACTACGTTATATCCCATTACTTTAATCTACTCATCATTTACCAGTAATGTTGTTAAGAATGCCGATCGTGTTCGTATCGAATCATTTATTAACTTTATCGGACAGAGTTGTCTTCTCTATTTTACTTCATCTTCCAATTTTTTTATCTATACTGCAACTTCAAAATCATTCAGACATGATATGAAAAAACTTCTATTTAGACTGAAACGACGCATTACTGTCCGACCGACGATCATTGCTAATTCCATAATGGAATTGGCAGTGCTTCGACCGCAACGCACTACGACTCACACATGAATTGTATATTCAGATGTCACTTTCTCTTTCTCTTTCTCGTTGTTCATTTTCTGCTGTCTGTACACCCACACTTCTTTTATATCTTATTCATTATTATTTTTGTCTTGTTCATCATTTATTCAATGCACCAATAAACCTTCATATACTTGCACCTTATCCTATTATAATTTCATCATCTTTTATCTTACAATGATAGGCGGGGTGTGGGTGTGGGTACTTCTTCTTCATTCACACACACGTCCACATCCCTCAAGACTTTTTGTTCTTTATTCTGTTATATATATATAAAAATATTTATAATACTTTGAAATATAAAATTATTTTCTTTCTGTGAGGATCTGGCATAGTTTCTGCTGCCATCAACTTTCACCAAATTCCTGATGTTTCTCGAACAAATTTTTAGATCTCGATAAATATCTCAAAACTAGAAATTTACTTTCTATTTATGATTGAAATTTATTATAGAAATAATTTCAACAAATATACCTTCATACTTCAGTGTCATAAGACTAATTTCTACGTTTCTCATTTATTAGAATGATACTTTATGGTGACTATAATATTTCTAATAATGATTTTATTATATTTTTAAATAAATCTATTTATCTTTTGAATAATTTTTTTTCTATAATAAAAAATGGTCTTTCTAAAAAGATAAGTATAGGAATAGCTGCAGCGTAACTTAAAAATAATTGTGATACATAATTATTGATTACAGTAAGTGGTTGATAATAGAATGGCATTGTTTGATTGTATATAATAATATAGATAATAGTCAAATGAATTAGATAAGTTGCATAATTTAAACGTGTTAAAGGAATCCAAATAGGCCATGATAAAATTTTGTTTACTATTCCATTTTCAGTAACACTACACAAAAAAATAATCCATCCAACAGCTAAAGACCAAGCAGGACGAGACAACATATCATAAGCAATGATCGATGCTCGATTAAGACCATTGACTGAATTATAATCACCATACATTGAAAACATACAAACCAAAAAACTTGATATAGTAAGAAGATTTCCTATTAATTTTATTTTACTGTTAATAGAATATGTACGACCTTTATTAATAACAAGAAAACCAGTAAGAAGACCTATAGCATAAGCCGAAATTCGACACCATGGAGCAACATAGATAACATTAAAGTAAGTAGGTTCAGTCTATTAAGATAAAAATTGAAACAATTCTGAAAGATTTTCTTTTTGTTACTTACAGGCTGTGTAGATTGTTGAATAGCATTACGTACATTATTAGGATTGAGATGAGGATAGTAAAGAAGAAGACCAAAAATTGATGCCATACTGATAAAAATATAAATAATACCGACAATATATGCAAGTTGTTTTCGTCCAAGTACAAATGGAATAAGAACAAGTGGAGCAACCCAATGAAATTGCATATCATTGAAAAGATACCATGAAACATTCAAACACATATTTTGTGGTTTAATTAAATTCCCAATATAAAAAAAAGCTGTCCACCAATAATAATTCCGACATTCTTCCGATTCAAATCCTTGTTGAGAAGGATATGCCGGTCCATAACCAAGATAAGGTGTTAAATAAATACTCATAAACATAATAATTATAAAAGTAGGTGTCAATCGAATATATCGATGAATATAATAGAGAAACATAAATCGACGGGATAATTTTTCTTTCTTAACTTGTCGAACAAAAAGAATAGCGGTTAAAAAACCACTAAGAACAAAAAATGTATCAACATTTAATACAGCACTTGTAATTAATTGAAAAATAAAATAATGTGACCAAGAAATAACATCAAGATTATTAACTGTATAGTTCATACCAAATAGAAATGAATGACAAAATATAATATAAAAAAGAGCAAGTACACGAATACCATTAATAAAATGAAATGAATTTTCAGATTTTTTTTGTTCCATATTAAAAATATATTGTAATGTACGAAGAGCGGAAAATTCAGCTATCCATATTTTCTTTGATAATGGCTCATTATTCATAATAATAAGATCGATTATAGTTGCTATAAGAACAAGAATAATTAATATCGAAAGAATAACACATATTATTATTGTTCCTATTAATCGATTATTTCTTTCATTAAGATGATCATTTGAACAATGTAAATAATCATTTGTTAGATTTATACTGTTATTTAACATGCTTTGAACTAGTGAAACTATTGATTGACTATGACATGATGAAGGGAAACAAAGACCTATAACTATACTTGAACTAACAAAAGCACCTGCATTTGATGGATTTGTTAATAGTTTACCTAAGTAGATTTTTGGTATAAAAATTCGAAATTTTGATAGATTTATACGTACAATATTGAGTTTCAAAAGGTTGTTTTACGTATGATTGACTATCATATTGATATAAAGGTTGAATACATTCATCATAATTCCCAGCCCAAAAGACATTACCTTTGAGTAAACCAGATGGTAAAGGTTTACCCCAAGAATCTAATATTTTCAATGCCCATAATTGTTGATTTAATACACCTTGAATCACTAATTCAATATCTTGTTCACATGTCGTATTCTTATTATTGAATAATAATATATTTGCTAATAATTCCTCGAGTCTAGAATTGATATATGGTAAACTATTAAGATTAAGTAATTCGTATTGTTGTCGAATAGTTTTTTCAAAATTAGATGGAATTGTTTGATCTCTTAATTGACAATCGATGTGTTGAAATGAGAAGATCAAGAGTAATATTATTCCAGTAAACATATTTAGTTATCTAAAAATATAATGTATCAATACAAAAGAATGATATTACATCAAACTGACATAATATGTCAAGGCCATAATGATAAGATATTTTGTATATAACAAAAAGAGCAAGTATCATTATAGAACCAAATAGAATATCTTACAGTCATTTTTGTGAACTTCAATGATGTCGACGTAGTGATCTGTTTTACTGTAATATGTATAACCGATTACATACGTCATCGTTCACCATTCTCCATATGTTTTCTATGGATAACGATAATAATGAAAATGAAAAAGCCAACGTTACATTTCTATGTAGAATAAAATATATTTTGCATACATCTTAGTTATTTAAAAGTGCTTATATCATAGTATACAAAATAAATTTCGTAATAACATCTCAAGTAGATAAGAGCCTCAAAACAAATGACGAATAAAAGCAAATATTCTAACAGTAAATAAACGCAAAAATGTCATTCTTACGCAGTTCTAATGAGATCTTACATTATATATCATAGTATAGTATTATTTAGTGGTATAAGTTATATACCTATTATTCAACAATACTCATTACTACTACAAATAAGTGCTGTTCTTTCACAACTTTTAGATCAGATCGTGTTCTAAAAATCTTTATTATTTAATTATACAGATAAATATTATGATGATTCTATTATTGATTATAGGACGATCAAATTCTCATAAATCTATGAAACTAATTATATTTTTGCTTAAATATAAGTAGCTAGTGCAAACGGCGAAGATTTTCTAATCCTGTGACATAATGGTATAGAGATACGAGACAGAATATGAACTCACTTGATTCGTAATTTAATAGTTGTTACTATTACTAATGTATCTATCGTTCTTGAACTGTATGGGTTAAATAGTTTTATTTTGTTCCCTTTTTTCTCCTAATAAAATAATCAAATCTTTTTCGAATTTAGTAGCCATTGAATTTATTGATATATAATATGATTAAGAGTTTACAACACAACAAAAAAAGCGTTTTGTAATGATATTAATTAGATAGTTGCTAGACCAAATGGAAATCTTATGTTCGTGTAGTAGTAGTAGCAATAGTAGTCACTTGTGCTGGAGGGCCTTTGATAATTCGGGAAACGTGTTGTTTAACATATTGTCGAAATTCATGATGGTACATGAACATATTCATAATGTTAATCCAAGCACTAATGATAGGCAAAGCTGTTAAAATTTTAAATGTCAATGTTAATTGAAATAGAATTCCATAAATTATTCGACAAATATAAAGTGGAATCCAACCTATAACATATACAAGCATCATAGCAATAATATGCTTTAAAAGACTTTTTTCTCGATCGTTAAAAACAGGTTGAGATGTTGTTTGTCTTGCTAACATATTCCCTGCTGGAGCCACACGTCGACCAGATGACCATGTATGAAGAAATATAATCAAATGAACGACTATCATTATAGTACATGGAAATATAATGACAATAATTAATATGTATATATCTGCTATAAATCGTGTTATAAACCCTTCACATGTCTAACAGATAAAATAAATAAGAATTTTATTTGATAATAAATAATTTTTACCTCAGCTGATCGAGTAATCAAAGGAATAGGTGCTATTATTGCTAAAAACCATTGAATGCCACAACAAATTAATATCCATTTTTTTGTTTTAAATAATAATCGTGTTGGATATAAAACTCGACATAATTGATTAATGGACATAACCACTAAGGAAAAAGTAACACCACAAACTGGAATATTCCATAAATATTCACTAAATACACACAAGCTAAAATAGATAATTGGAAAGAAGTTGACTAGAATAAGAAATGTAGTAGTGATAAGATTCAACAATAAATTCCATAAAACGACATTGAGCAGAACTATATTAGCTGGTATATGGAATCTTTTTACCGAGAGAATAATTGAACCATAAAATATTACCGGTAATAAACCCAATAAGAGAGTGCCAATCATTAAATATTGTATAATATTTCCTATAGTATATATATCCATGTCAATATATAATTTGAGTCTGGATGAAATAACGCAGCGAGAATTTTTTTTAAATAAATATTCGAGATCTACTTGAATCAAGCTTAATGCTTTGGGTTTTTATATGGAAAAACGTTAATCTCTCTTGCATATCATATAAGTATCAATGTTTTCCATCGATATGTCTATAGATAATTTAAGATGACAGTAATTTTGTATTTAAAAAAAATTATTATTCGCTACTTGTCAAACTCTTTTAAATATTTTTATGATAAAAGACGTCATCACAATAATCATAAATATCATGTCTTGTATTTGACATTATACTCACAGGAACATGTCATTGGTACCTAAATGTTCTACTTTCATATACTTAATTTTATCATCTATTTAGATATCTTTCTTATTAGACATTTTGAGCTTTATATTTATTATTTGTTCTCAATATAGAATCATACTACATTGATTTAATCTTTTTAAATATTTCTTTCAACTTTCTCGATCGAAATTGAGAGCGCGAGTGACCCACACTTCTTTTTTTGTTGAATATCTGTAACTCTTGCGAAATTTCATAATCAAATAACGAAAGAATATAATTACAACTGGTCTACACTAATGATGAGAATAAAGCACAAGAATCCGATCGCAGTATGCAAGAACAGAACAATCTTGTCTGAAGAGAAATTCTATTTACAACAATATCATTCGAAAGTCTGAATCTGTTTTTTCGAGCGAGAATTTTGAGTGACAAAGTTCTATGAAGATATGTCAATAAAGATATTTTAAATATGTAATCTTAGTTATGTATGTTTTATACAAATACCTATTAAAACAATTATAACTATATACAAATTATTAACCTCAACTCGTATAGACACAAAACATAAATGTAAGTGGTAACTGTTAAGTTATGAACTGATTACAGGTGCTGTTATTAAAATAAAATCGAATTTTGTGATAAAATCATTGCATTAAATGTTTCTTTATTGCTCATGTGAGATTTATTCTTAGAGATAAGGTTCATACTATTATCAGTGACTATTTATAAATGATTTCTTGGACTAAATGAATCTGAATGATAGAAAATATGTTTATTTATTGTACAAAAATTCAATCTAGATTATTTAAAATGTTAAAGAGAGAAATATCATAAAGGATATCAATTTGTTTTATGTTCTTGTAATATTGATTGTGTTGTTTGATCATGATGTGACTGATTGGATGTTATTTGTACTGCACAATATGCTGATGCATGATGCCAAGCAGTATGCCAACGTTGAATATCTATCTTATTTTCAATATGTTTTAGATATTTCGACCAATCAAACATGTTTATAGAAATATTTTCAATGATATTTAAAAACAATAATGCTTGTAATTTTTCACAGTTATGTAGTCGAAATGAGCTATTTTTTATTAAGAATACTCATAATAAAAGGAAGAGAATAAAACCCAGTGAGGAGTTTGATCTTTCTGAAGAAAAAAAAATACTTTCATAGTATTTGCCACGTAAACGAGAAAAATTACGGATGATGAAGTATTTATAAAAAAAAACTGCGTAGAAGATATTTTTGAATTGTGTTGAGTCGTTTTGTTTCATTGCTTCATAAACCCTTCTAATAGTTATAAATATCGTTGATAATCTATATGATAAACTAGAAAATTTTTTTTTCTCACCGATGAAAAAACAACTTAAATTAATCAGACTGACACTTTTATCAAAAATTATTCTTCTGAATAAAAACAACATGCAAATATTTTTTTTCTCATTGAAACCTATCTTAAACAACTTTATCCCTTACAAATTGTCGCCTATTATTAAAATCAATATATGAATATGTAGTCAAGGATTGATTTATCTAGTAAAAGATTCGTACTATTAAATGAATTGAATTAAAAAAAGAAAACATCGAAAATTACAAGTTTTTCTTCTCTTCACATGGAGTCGTTAGTTTCCTTTTTATTATTCTTATCATTAGTGTCCTTTTTCTTCTAACCTTCAGTATTTATCAAAGATAAAGCATATGAGTAATAAAAGAAATGAATATATATATATATAT